GCGGGGCGGGGCCGGGCCGGGCGGGCACGTTCACGTTTGCTGGACCGCGCACCACACATGCGGACCGCCCAACCTCACCACCACCGGAGCGTTCTTGGTAGGATCACAATTTTATCCGGCGAAACGAAACGAAAGCGAGATCACATATCGCTGGGGGGCGGGGCGCGGGGGGGCTCCAGGGAGGAGGAAGACAACAGCATTCGGCACGCGTAATATGCACTTAACCGATGCGTGAAAGTATATCTTTTTCTCCCTCTCTCGGCATTCCATCTATCTCACTCTTCCGATCTCATCCGCTTTGATAAGAGTGAGTGAGAGAGAGAGATGGAGACAGAGAGAAAGGGAGGGGGGAGGGGCGAAGAATATGCGTACCGCGCAGAGAGTGTTGCTTCCGGTGAGGGAAAAGAAATTATCCTATCGGGAAAAGCAGCAGTCGTGAAGAGCATATTCACCCTTCCAAACCTCACCTTCTTATGCAGTAGTAGTGTATATAGTGCTTTTGCCCATATGGCTTCTGTCTCGCGATGTCGCAATTATTCGCATACTATGTACTGCTGTATGCGCTAATTGTCGCAGGGCAAAATCAGAGCAGCGTTATGAGCGTTGGTGGTGAGGTGAACGTGAACGCGAGGGCCAGCAGAGGGAGCCTTCGCCCGCCGCCTCCTCTCTCACTCACATGCGCGCTCACACACACACACACACACACACAGATTACACGCACACTGGCGCGGCGCACACAGGCTCACACACAGACACACACGCACGCACGTCGCATTCCCAGCGATTACTAAAACACAATGTGGTGTAATGAGTGATATAGGCTGTGGAGCTCCGGAGCTCCGGCCGGGCCCCGGGCCAGGTTCAGGCCAACGCCACACAACCACAGCCCCACAGCCAGCCCCACGCATGGCCGCCGCCGCCGCAGCACAGCCTGTAGGACACAAACTTGTCCTCCTGCTCGGGGAGTATGGCTATCGAGAAGACAGTAGTGGAATACGCTTTGGGCTGCTCGATTGAGAGAAAGGGAAGTAATCGAGCTCTTCCCTTGCGTCTCTCCTCACACACACACTATAAGCCCAAGGGGCCTATGAACCTGTCCCCCTATGTCCTCACCGACACAACCTCACCCCTCCCCCTCCTCACCCTTTTTTTCACTTCCTCCCTTCCTCCCCTCCCCTTCCCCTCACACCTGTTGGCGGCGGTCCCTTGGTCCGTCTCTTATTCCCCCTTCCCTTCCTCGCTTACTTCCGTCCTCCTTCTCCTCCTCCTCCTGCTTCTCCTCCTCTTCCTCCTCGGGGTGCGGCGGTGCACGGTGCGCGTCGCTCGGCCGCGCACTTGTTTCGTGTGTTTGTTGTCGTGTGTATGATTTCCCACGTCCTCCGCGCCTTCGCCTCCTCGGTCTGGGCGAGAGTCAGTCAATGCCGGCCGATGCCGACCCTGGGTGCGCAGCAGCACCGCAGAGCAGCGCCAGGCGAACCAGGACGCGCGCACTGCTTGGAAAAAAAATAAAAAATACCGTCTCGACAACAACAACAAATGAAATTGCATCCGCAATCGAAAGGGGAACACAGAACACCGATTCTCTCGCTCTCTTCTCTAGTGCCTCTAAAACAGAACGCGAAACATGCGGGCTGCACGACGGGCAATACTACATGACTTTCGCACATGAACCGCCGAGCCAAAAAGGATATTTTTGCGCGACAAGCAGCACGGCGGCGTGAGCGGCGTGTGGGCAGACAGACGGGGTAGGAGGCTATCCACGGCGTCATCTCGCGGCAGTGCCCTCCTTGCCAAGGAGTTCCTCTCTGTGGAGGCTCGGTCGCCGCCGCGGCGGCGGTGGTGACCTCTGACCCCCGCGCGCTGCTGCACCGCTCTGGGCGGGGCAGGGCAGGCCGCCGGGCTGCCTAACGGTGCTCTCCACCTGTGCTGCTCAGCAGGCTCAGCAGCAGCCAGTGGCGCGCGGGCCACCCTGGCGGCGCTGGCCGTGCTGCTGAGCAATCCGCCTAATAGGCTGAGCAAACAATGTATAAGTCCTGCTCGGCCAATACCACCACGGAGCAGAGGGTCATTGATCCTCGCGCAGCCATTCAAACCGTCCGTGTGTGTGTGTGTGTGTGTGTGTACACTACTTGGTGATGGCCGGTGGGGAGGGGGCAGCCCAACTCGGCCCCACGCCACGCGTGCCCACCTGTGGAAGCGAGCAGAGAATGACGACGACGACGACGACGACTTTGACACTGAGCCGCGAAACGCAACTAGGCAGAACGGGCCGTGAGTAGTACAAGCTCGGGTGATTAGTGTGGTGGCTGTGCTTCCACGAACAACGGCGTCGTCGTCGTCGTCGTCTCCTTCAGCTGCTTAGCGAGCGGGGAGCGCGCGCGCACCTGCTGCAGCGATCATCCTCTGCTTATGAGTGAAACAGAGAGGAGAGCGGCGGCCGTGGTCGAGGTGGTTGTGGTGGTGGAGGTGGTGTCAACTGCATGGGCCAGAAGGGGCCCTTGTTATGGGGATTAGTGCCAGCGGGACGAGGGAGGGGGGGAAGGGGACACACTCCCTCGCTCAGACAGGTGAGGACAGGGGAGGGGAGGGGGGGGAGGTCACACAAAGCGTTGACTCACGTCAGCCGCGCCGGCTGCGACAATGCCACCCTCCTCGCCGCCCCCAACCCCTCCCTCCTGCTCCAACCAGACCCCCTCCCCCCCCTCTCCCCTCCCCCACAGACTCCGCCGTGCACCACGAGGAAAAAAAATATACTGTGCGGGGGGAGCAGCCTGAAACACAAGCCACACAGGTGATATCAACCAAACCCAACTAACTACACTGCACGACAACAGGGGGAAAACGGGGAAGGGTGGGGCGGGGCGTAAAAGGGTAGAGGGTATTCTGCTGCAAGACAATCAATCGGTCAATCGGGAAGAAAAACATGACTGACTGACTGTTTCCTCCTGAATGCTGATTGGTCGACGATGACGTTGGTGTGTCAGTCCAATGAACGCGCAGAAAGGGAACAAATCGAGCAGTCATTGCCTTTCTTCCCTAGGATCCCGGTTTTTCTGCAGTGGAATGCCCTATTAATACACCCAAAACACGTGGATACGATTGTGTATCTTTGAAAGTGACACGACTGTCGCTCGCACGCCTTGTGTACGTACTCGTCGACCAGCTGAGCGACGGAGGCTTCCAGAGAGTCCGGTGGGAGAACGGTGTTGGTGGTGTCCGGGAACATAAGGGCTAGGCGATGCGCGGCGGATGTTGCGTCGACGTCCCGTTCCAAAAGGCTTACGGCCGCGCTAGCGAGGGGGAGAGGGAGAGTCTCCCCATACCCTCCTCTGGACCGACTTGAAAGAGACGGCGAGATAACACAGAGGAAAAGGGGAAAAGGAAAAAGGTTTGGAAAGGAAACAGCAGTCAGAGTCCGTTCAGTTAGACGCAGCAGACGCGCAGTAACAGGCAAGCGTCAGATTAATTTCCTCCGCGCCAAGCCGAGGAGTCAGGGAGCCGCCGGGGCGCCGCCGTGGGCGCGGCGAGGCGCGTGGGCGAGTACCGTTCGAACCTCCGCGAGAGGGCGAGAGAGAGGGAGGGGAGAGAGAGAAAGAAGCTTGCCCCAGTGACGCGCGTTTGCGCCCGCCACCTGAGTGACTCATTTTTTTTTCTATTTTTTTTTTCTTGGACCAACTATGTACGAGGAAAGCGAAAGAAGTCGTGAAC